AGAGAGAGAGAGAGAGAGAGAGAGAGAGAGAGAGAATACAGAAACCGGTTTGCACATAGATTTTCCATGAATTATTTAAATTCAGCTATGTCGATGTGGCACGTACTGTAATTTACGTTCAATTCCCGTCTATCTCAGAGCGACAGATAGATAAGAGAAGAACCTTGCCCAGAGAGTGAGTGCAGCAAACTCTTCCTTCCTTGGACTTGGGGCGTGTTATAACTTCGGCAGTTGTTACTTATAAATTACCATCTATGCAGTTATAACTCATAGACCCCATACGCGACGCCTTTATAACTTATAACTTTGCTTTTGTAAGTTATAAGCACGTGGTACTTAACTCTTCTAACCTGTATATACATGCACAGATGTATATATATATATACCATCATACTTATTACTATATAACATATAAGTGTGTGTGTTACGATTCCCGGATGATATAAGATTAAGATTCGAACCACCACCACCATACCACCATTGAACCCGATACGTTCCTTTTTCTTCGAATTTGACGTTAATGTCCCTCCCCCCTTGCTCCTGCCACCGAACCGACTACTAACCTTCTTTTTCTCGCAATAAGGGGGAAAAAAAAGAAGAAGAAGAATAAGAAGAATTCAAATAAAACAAAATAAAAAGAGGAAAGAAATGATACGAATGATCAGAATAGCCGTATATTATATATAGTAACACATTTAATTATAATAATAATGAAATTTTAAAATTATGACGATTTGAATAAGAAGACACACTTTTCAACATGGCTGCTAACGAGATACGAGGAATCGATGAGAAATAAAAAAAAGAAAGAGGAAAAAGAAAAAAAGAAATAAATTATCGCATCCAATAATTATAATTATAACGTTTCAATTATTATACGTGATGATTCGCAGGGAGTTAGGGGAAATTTGGAAAGGAAAAGAAAAGAAATGTTGTTTAAAGTAACCGACAAAACAAAATGGCGATTATTGGTTCGGAAAGAAGAAGAAGAAGAAGAAAAGAGCACGCACGCACTGTTCTCCTTCGTCGCGAAAAGAACAGAAAAAAAAAAAAGAAAACAAAGCAACGAGGGATTGGTTCATATTTTTGTTGACTTTTTTTGTTCTTTTCGCGTTACCAGACTGGTCACGGCGTCGGTAAATTGACCGATAATGTTGCTTGGCACTGATTGCTGGATAGCAATGATGAATGCACGAGGGACACCTCCTCCCTCCCCTGATCCTAGTCTTTCGATGCACGCCAAGGTCGGTGACCTTGCGCAAGCCCCTTCGGCAGATACTCTTTGGCGCCACACTGTACTATCTTTGTCCTTTATTTTAGTTTTCTCGTATGTTTTTTTCTTATTTCTCTTTCTCTTTCTATTTTTTATCTTCATCTTCATCTTCATTGGAAAAATTCATTTGCACCTCGTTCCGAATTTTCTAACCTGATTTTTGTCATGACCTTGACCGCCAATAATAACGCATCAATAAATTTAATAAATCTAACAACTTTTATATCGTTATATCATGCAACAACGTTTTCTTTCAACGTTACGCTAACGAATTTTTATTTATTTTTTATTTATTTTATTATTTATCTTTATAATATAGTTTTTTATTTCGATCTCTTATAATATAAATCCGATTTGTGTTAGATCAATTGAATCATTTTAACGCTTTCATATCTTTTCGACAATTCTTTCCTTTCGCGAAAGAAACCCCGAAGAAAATTTCTTATCACGTTTTTTCATTACTTTTGTATTGGGGGAGGGGAGTTTGACTATTAGAAAATAATATTTTTATTTCTTTAAAACGCGCGATATTAATTATTTATCTTTTTCTTTTTCCCCGTCTTCCGTTATCGTGCGCATCAAAAGTTTCGACTATATTGAAATACGTTTTATTATTTTAAACTGGTTTTCGTGTGTGTGATTTCCGACTCACTACGCATTATGGAATGGCGTAACCGCTCTGGTTTCAACCACAACACGCGACAGAAAAAGTTCTTAACATTATATTCAAACCAGTTAGTTACTGTAGTATTGCTTCGATCAATCTTATAGGATTGTTATTTCGGATTATATATATAAAATTCTTTCTTCAATTTTGACATGAGAACTTTTATTTAAAAATAATTTATTAATCAGAAATAATATAAGCTTATTTTTTATAATAATGTCCAATATAAACAACAACAACAACAAGAAATAAGACAATAGTTTAAATCAAAATTAATTTTTGGCTTTATTTCATTGAATTAATCCAACTTTGATTAATTCAGTTTAATCAAAAATTAAATACCAAAAATAACAATATTAACGTTACATCGTTGATATTTAAATAAATTGTCTTGTTTACATACAAAAAAGAAATATTTGTTAATAGATAATGCAATAAAAAAAAACACAAGTCCTCACATTGCACCAATATCCTTGCTTTCAATATTTATTTATTTCTATCTCTTTTTAACTTGCGAAATATAATTGCAGCAATCGAATTCAACGTTTTGACAAGTTGAAGCATACGTCGAAAGCTAATAATTGATAGTTTTATTCGATATAGCATATAAGAATACGGAAAAGAGCATTGTTTCCGTAACCACAAATTATATCTTTATTTAAACAACATTTTATACGAGTATTGTAATAACTGACTTTTAATATATGTTATAATATCATTATCATTTGCCAATAAATCAATTTCGAAATAAGCAATTTAAAAATTGCGTATAAATACTTAATGCGAAGTCTTCAAATTCACAATTGCAGTAAGAAACGAAGAACGAAAAAGCAACCATGAAGTCTATCGTATTCTCTCTACTCTTCATTTTGATTGCCATGGTAAGTTAAGACAAAAATTAGAAGAAAATTATCATCTAACTTGTTATTTTTTAATCGTTTATACAAAATATAATCATTATAAACGTATAAATTATTCTATATGACAGATGCTACTAGAACATAGTGCAGTGGCTGAAATAGGAGCTGGTGTAGGTGTAGGAGCTGATGTGGGTGTAGGATCTCTTGTGGATGTAGGAGCTGGTGTGGGTGTAGGAGTTGATGAGGATCTAGGAGATGTTTTGGGTATTTAGGGTTAAAGTAAATAAAAAGATATCAAAATTGGTTTGGGATAGAAGGTGTAGAAGCAGATGTAGGAATGAATGCAAGAGTTAATACAGAAATAGGTGCAAGAAAAGGTGTAGAAGAAGATACAGCAATGAGTCCTTTTCCAGATAAACCTCTTCTAACTCATCTACTTTATCCTCATATTCTTATTTCTATTCCTTACCCGTATCCGTCCAGTATTAAAACATCTAACATTGAATATACTAGCTCCGAACAACTGAGCAAAAGCACCTGGGGAGTCTATACCACATAGCCATGTTCCAGTTCTGTAAAATCAAGTGAAACACCTAACAGATCTGCCACGTTTAGTTCTGGACCTATTCTTTGGACATTATCGATCAGATCAGATCACTCAGCAGCTTTTCCTCACCTAGTTCTAAACTTCTGCCTCTGAATAACCAAAATCTATACCTAAACCAATTTGAAATATTTTACCAGAGCAACCAACAACGACTTAAACTTCATATTATTTTATTAAATTCTTTCAAACCAACCAAAATTACTATTAATTTATATTCAAATATTTAATGTAAAATTATGTAATCCAATTTAACCGAAATAACAATAATTTAATTGTATCTCTATCTGAAATATAATTTATTATTATTATTATTATTATTATTAAGAGTGGCGTTGGGAACTCGAAAGCTCATTGGCGCATATACCAAATCCTGCCAGTGTTCTCGTTCCTGAGCGCGATCCTTCCATTCGCGATTCCCATATCCTATTTCCTTATAATCCCTCTTAATATTGTCCTCCCATCTACGCCTTGGTCTACCCAATGGTCTTTTCTATTGTTAAAACCTTATCGCCAATTAAAACTAAACGAAATAACTTTTGCAATAAATGATCCAAAGGAAAGAAACTTGTGTCAGAATAATAATAACGATAAGTCAAAATAACAATTGGATCAACTGTTTAATAGAAAAATTCGAATTATAAATATATTTCGATTGTGAATATTGAAGATGGGAAAAATTGCGAAAATAAAATCAAATGTGGAACTAAAATATAGGAGTCGAACAGGATAGAGCCCTTTTAATCAATGTTGAGTGAGAAAAGAGAATGAAGAGAAGCAATGATGATGGAAGGTGGGTTGAAGGGTTGCTGGGAATCTTTGTGGTCAGGTACATCTATTTATAGCTTACACGATGCTAATGCATATGCGCCTGTACACTACGTTAAACCTCCTCTTCTCGTCTAGCATAACGGGCTTTTACACGTTGCACTGAATATTTACCGCGACATAAACGCGTGTGAGCGTACATTTCTTTTTCTTTCTTTTGCCCCCCATCCCCATCCCCCTCCTCTCCACTCTCTTTAATATATTCTTCTCTTTTTCCTTTCCTCCTTCTTATACTTTTATACGTGTTATATACTTAAGTAAGTGCGCCAACATTCTTCTTTCTCTCTTTCTCACATCAAAAGGCACGTGCGTGGTTCTCGTACGCGCATGCGTACTGGCATTGCTTGAAAAGCATGCAAAACTCGATCAAAGAACCACCGACGACATTTTTACGTTTCACACTTTTTTTAATATTTTATCATAGTGCTCGATTTTTATTGCTTCCAGGTCGCAAAGATCTTTTTTCGTTTTCTTTTTCCGATAATTATCAACGAAACTCTAACGTACTGTACGAATCGAAGAGAGGCCATTTTTTTTGGTTTTCAATGTGGCCGCTAGGGGAAAAACAAATGAAAGAAATAAAATGGCGAGATTGATCCCGCGAATAAGAAAGTTTCTTCCTCGAGAGATGAACAAAATAACGAGGGATTGCTATTTCTTCCTTTTTTTTTTGTTTTCTTTTTCACGTTGCCAAACTGGTCACGGCGTCGGTAAATTGACCGATAATGTTGCTTGGCACTGATTGCTGGATAGCAATGATGAATGCACGAGGAGGACACCTTTTCATCCTCCCCTGATCTTAACTATTTGATGCACGCCAAGATTGGTGACCTTGTGCTAGCCCTCGGGGAGTATTACTCATTGGCGCCACACTATCTTTATCCTTTATTTTCATTTCCCTTCCCTTTCTTATTCCCTTTTCTATCTTCATCGTAGAATTCATTTTACCTTCCTTCGAAATCTTTCCTACGAAGACCTTGACCGTCAAGAATACTGGTTGCTGCAGTATATTCATTCAAAATCTATCTATTTCACAATATACAATTTCGTTTAATATTTTAACTGAACTATTATTTATATATCATTTCAAGTTGCTCGTATATTTGAATCTTGTTTATTCGATTACGATTAATTAACGTGAATTTTGTCATTTTTTAATATACCTTCTTTTTTAATTTATACGATCGAAACGTGTATTCATATAAATTAACAAAATAATTATTATTATTATTATGTTCTAATTTTGTGATTATTCATTTTTCCCTAACAATGTCGATAAATCGTTAACGGTGTAAATATATCGAGACTCGTTATCGACACCTTTTCTTCTTATTCTTATTCTTATTCTTCTAACTATCTATCTATCTATCTGTCTATTTATTTTCTCCTTTTTATTTCTGTCGAGACGTACAATCTACGAGCAAAAACGTAAAAGGGCGACATAAAGTACGAATGCGGCGAAACGAGCTAGAAAGGTGACGGGGTAAAATGAGAACGAGCCACCCCCGCTCGTTGATAACGAATGACCCTTTAGAAATTCTATGCAACCGAGAGTGCAGGTGGTATATCCAATGGTAGAACGCCCACGTTTTCATTTTATGTCCATTTATTCCATAACTATTTCCTCTCGCAATTCTCTCCAAAGAGAGAATTTTCTTTATTTCAACCATTGCGAAATTTACCATCCGCACAGATTATTTTCCTTTCATTTATTTCAAAAATTTATATCGTTTTCTAACGAATATCGTAGAAAAATAATTGGAATTTTGTTAGAATTCTCTACCCTATCGTTCTCAATAATAATTTAATTAAATAGAAAAAAAAAAAAAAAAAGAAAACAAATTTTAGTTGAAATAATACAATTTTTATTAACATCGGTAAAAAAAGAAAAAAAATACTTTCAAGTATAAACAAATAATTGACGAATAAACGAATGAATTGCAGATAATTGATGTTAACTAATTAAAAAAGGCGAAATATTTAATTTCAATATTTTTTTTCCTTGACATTATCGATCGATATTAACTTGAAAAAAGATGGATGTGTCGTGTGTAAGAGTAAAAATGAAAATAAAAACAAGAGAGAGAGAATTTCGATGTACATATGTATAACGGATCGAAGAAAGCGGTGAGATCCGTGTAAATCCGTATGCGTGAAAGGTATATAAATATTAATATATCTTTAGCATGATCCCCGGCTCAATGTCATCGATCTCAGATCGTCGTCGCATCGCTCGAGCCGTCGTGGAATGTGCACCGCTCCGGTTTCAACCGCAACACGCCGCAGGAAAAGTTCTTAACATTATTAAAACCAGTTAGTCACGGTGGAACTGCTTCGGCCGCTCTTATCGGATTATAATTGTGGATTACGAGTTCTTTATATATATATATATATCTTTCTCTCTCTCTCTCTTCGACTTCGATAAAAATTTTTATTACAACGTACGTCTATTTACGTCCAGACTTATATTTAAAATAATTTATTTCAAAGATAATATTCATTAAATATGATTAACGAATTATACAAATCGGGTCCTAATATATTGTCTAATTTAAAAAAATTTGTAATAATTTTTAATTTAAAATAATGTTATGTTCGAGTTTCGAGATTCCTACCTTATCGACGAGACTCTCGTTATCGGCTGAGTCTTTTGTCACCTCTAGCAACGAGACTTAGAAACAGAAAATGAAATTGATGTTACTCGGTCGATATTACAGTAAACTTTCTTTTTATCTATAACGAGATATATAAACAATTGATGATATATTTATTTTTCAAAATAATCACTCTTCTCTCTTTTATACGTGAATTTATTTTTCTCTATGAATTTTTTATTTAAAAAGAATAATATTTTTCATATGTTTATTTTCAAAAAAAAACTCGATTTGTTGCATCATATTTCTTGGAATACAAACATATGAAGATATAACACAGTTTGTTATTTTTAATATTTATAAAAATAAGTAAACAAGTCAATAAAAATTGCTATCTAAACTATTGTTTACCCATTGGTGGTTGTATAACAAAAAAAATAACTAAAAAAAAAAAATAAAAAAAACAATGATAACGATCTCGAATACATACAATCGCTTTAATCGTAAGAAAAGATAAAGAATATATTTACGAGTTACATTATAAATTTTATTACAATAGGATATTTATTTATTATTATTATTATTATCTATAATAGATTGCAAATAAATAAGGAAAAATGTAAAGTAATTCTACGAAGTATAAATATTATATACAAATTTAATGAAACTAATTTGAATAGATAACCTTTCCTCTTAATGAATCACACCAAACTTTTTTATTTTCAATGACTTATCATCGTATATATACAGATACTGAATAATAGGGAGGCAATGAATGATAAAAGTGATGCAAAAATGGAATATACGTCGGGATAGATATATATATATATATATATATATATACATATATATGGTATTTCTATTGGATTGATCGTGCAACTATCGTAGTTTCCAGCCAATAAACAAACGCCACATTTGTAGAAGGAAACATCGTCGACCAATGAGAGGACAGTTGAGAATTAGATGCCTCTATTGCGATACTACTTGCACGCAGTAGTTCAATCCTGTTGCATCAGGCAACCCAAACAGAAGGGTTTTTAAATTTCATTCCTCTGTTATGTCTTGTGTCAGTCGGAGTAACGTAGTTGAAAGGACAAGTTTGAATTGTCAAATCGGATTAAATTAAAAAAGTGTCAATTGTATTTGAAATTAATACATGTATGGATGAATATGAGTGCATTGAAGAGCGTTGTTATTGCATTTCCTAAAGGCTTTTCAAAAAGCTCTACTATTGTGCCCACCAACGAGCTTGTCAGATCGGTCTCTAAATTTAATTTTTCTACATCGTATTTGACTAACAAAACGGATATGGATATTACGATGAAAATACCTAAACAGGAAGAGCTTCAAGAAGATGGGGCGTTCTTCAAACCAGATGTTTGTAACGGTAGAGGAAAGAAACGTCGTCTTGATCATCTTACATGGGAAGAAAAATTACAGCGAAAGTATGTTTATTGATTTATTCATATATTTAATTTCATTTAACAATAAGTAAATTTAATTATAATATTTAGACAATTTGTTTATCGTTCATCTTATTATATTTTATTTAGAAAATTAAAAAACAGAGTAGCAGCACAAACGTCGAGAGATAGGAAAAAGGCGAAATTGGATGAATTGGAAGAGACAGTGAGAATTTTGAAACAGAGGAACGACGTGTTGAGCCAAGAATGTACTATATTAAAGTCGCAAAACGAGTTACTTGTCAGCGAAGCCAAAAAATTGAGGAGAGAGAGGGAAACAAGTAATATGAGCGAGCAACTATGTTCATCGTGTCAGGCACGCGTCAGTTGTCCTGTACCTTCACTGGGATCTGCCGTATCTCCACAAAACCCTCTGCCGCAGGGTGGGACAGTACAGTCAATGTCGTCCCTGACACTAACACCAGGAGCAACCATATTACTGAAAATTATGACCCTCTACCTCCTCTCGAAGAATTATTTGGAGATCTCCAAGGGGATGATTACATCGACAGACTCGAAGAACTTGCGGAAAGCCTTCTTCGAGAAGTTACCTCAGAAATGGAAACAAATACTCATAGATCAGATGAACAAGTGAGTTTTAATTGAGGGAAAATAGATTTATTCGTTTGAGCAATCATATCTTATAAATGCGAATCAAATCTTATATTTCTTTTATTATCGGATCTTCCAGAAATGGATGAATGTATTCTGATGTAATATTACTCTATGTGAACACAAAGTTTATATTGTAATAGTATTCATAGGTATTACAAAAAAAGGAATGTTCATCCATTTCTAGTCTATCTCTATATCATTTTAATTCAGTTTTTTCCTCATTAATAATAAATTCATTATCTCACTAGGTTTCGGCCGAAGGAAATACCCTTAAAAAATCTGACAATACAGAAAGAATGGTGGGGGAGACATCAAAAAATGTGGAAGCCGATACAATCGATGATAGAAGCCTGAATGGTAGTAATTCTTGGCATTCTAAATGTAGTGCAGATGTTGCACAGATTGTTCCGGATAATTCACGAACAACATCGATTGTTATTAAAAATGAAATAGATGTTAAACAAGAGCCGGATATAAATGATATGGAAACAGTATATGGTACCTATGACGAAACTACTAATTCTATAACTTTTATTTATCCTGGTCAGGAAGATAATATAGCCATACAAGAATGCGTAGAAGAAATAAGTAGTTCTGATAATGCTTATCATGTCGATGATGTAACATCTATGACAATGCATCTTTCTTGTTCAGATCAATATTCACCCGCTTACACATGCACAGACACTATGTCACCTTCGAGCATATATTCAGACAATGTTGATGCATCGTTTTCTTCGAGTAAATCAGATGCACATTTTTCGGATGGTGGTTATGAGTCTCACGGTTCCCCTAGTCCTGATATACATAAGAATAATAATAACAAGAACAGTAGTAACAAACATAATAATATATGTTTAACAGATACTTGGCATGAGAGCTTCACAGAATTATTTCCAATGTTGCTTTGAAATTAAAGCATTACTTAAAATAGAAATTTTATTGTTTCATCTTGAATTCATTGTGAGAATAACAGATGAATGAATTTTATTTTATTTTTACGTATGCATTTATTGCATATGTTTTATGTAGGCATATTGTATAAAAGGAAAGATTAACAAGTAATTCCATGTAATTTATTGAATAATAGATAGTAATATTATAAAATATTAAGTGGGAAAGTGAGATTCTATCTATATTTTTTATATAAATTTGTAAAAAATAATTTCTTTTGATTTAACTTTATATTTTTAATGTTAGATTTGGTAATTACTTTCACCGCATCGCGTGTATATTACTTAATATATTAAATAATATATTTGTGGATATAAATATATGTAATATTTATTAAAAAATTAATTAAGAAAATCTAATTATTGTCAGATAATTTGCCAAATAAAAATCATCTGTATCATATTTTTCATGTCAATGACCTCCCTTCATTGGATAAATTAATTCTCATTTGATCATTTAAGTTAAACAACGAACTGGTTAGTACTTGGATGGTTGACCGCTTTGGAACCCTATGTGCTGTTGACTCCAAAAAGGCAGTCGTTCATCTTCGTGAAAGGTGGGCTGTGTCCAAAAGTATTAAAAAAAAAGTCCCTTAAACCCATAAAAGAGAGAGAGATAAAGATAATCTATCAAAAAATAATGAAATACATAATTTAATACATTTATATTTTCTATATATCTTTGATCTCCACTCTCAATTGGTGATCATTTTTAATCGAAAATAATTTAATCTATACATTGAAATATATTTATACAGAGAAATAGATTTGCGTTGAAAAGAAAATAATCAATTGTAATGTTTTGTAGCGAATGCATGTAGTATATTTTTTACTTACATATTTTCAACTATTTAATATTATTATTATTATTATTGTATTATTACATCGTCTTACATGTGTCACATACGTTTGTATGTTACAAATGGTCAAGAAAAAAGTGTATCATGCACACTTACTACTACAACGTCAATCCTCAATAAATTGATCGATAAAATTAAACGCGTGCGATTATTCGATCGTTATTTGCAACAACAACAACAAAAAAATAACAATTTAAAAAGATAATAATTCATTTGATAAAATCAAACGACAAAATGCGAATATCGTTGCTTGCTCGGAATTAATTTGCTTTAACTGTACATAAATATTATTTATTCATTAATATAAAATTATGAAACTTAATGAACGCGTATTCGTTTCAAACAGTGTTCTAGTTTCTTTTTTTATATGTATAAATATTTATATAATTACAAATATTCCACGTAAAAATATCATTAATTGAAAATAAAAATAAAAAGAAATTAGTTAAAACGCGTTATGGAATTAGCACCCATATTTCTTTCTTGTGTTTTTGTTTTTTCTTTTTTTTTTTTTTTTTTTTTTTTTTTTTTTTGTTCATTATTCCCTATACATTTATGATGCAAATTCAAATGTCGTATTTTTATTCAATGTCCTTCCTTTAAAATATGTATGCACTTATTCATGTGTGCATTTACATATGTATGTTGTATGTGTGAGTATGTGTGTTATGTACGTCCACGTTTAAGCATTGGAAGACAATAATACAAAGCGTATTATATGTCAATAGACTCTACTAACTTTATTTTCATTGTGAAAGAGAGAAGGAGAGATGTAATAAAAATGTTATGAAACTAACATCTACCTACTTTTCTAATTAAGAATTAAAGGCGTATAAAAATCTTAAAAGGCTGTATCAAGCTGTAGCAAAAAGATTAATTAACTTTTATCATCTTCATCTTCTTCTTCTTCTTCTTTTTCTCCATTTAGTCTA